GTTCACCCATTATGGGCCATGTGTTTTACAATCACATTCAATGTTGACCACATATAATCAAATAATACTTGGTTTCCATTACTGAGCACATGCTGCCTTTGGCAGCAGTTTAATGATGGAAAATGAATTGAGCATGGTTTCCTTGTAAATAGTTGTAAGATAAGTGGCTTCCCCCCCAGCCCCATGCTGATTGAGGGGAAAAAACCTTGTCTTATACTTGAGTAAATATGGTACATTTCTGCAACAGGCTTACAGTTGCCAATCTGAACTCAGTCTACCCCCACCCCCTCCAAAAACAAGTTGTCTGAAAAAGAGAGAGAATTTATTTTGGGCACATGATAATAAAATTGAAGCTGAACAGAACTGTCCAGCTCTTCAGACTTTCACAGATGCACAATTTTGCAGGATTCTGCTGCTATTACAGGAGATTTATACACCAGTTCTCCGCGTAAAACCACTACAATGGTCGACTGACATTTCTGTGCAAGTTAGATTTTGTTTAGGTCTCCCATGTTTCAAACGCCTTTCCTATCACGATGCCAGAGTCTATACGAGAACACTAGCTTTATACTGAGGGCAACAGTGACATAAGCACACCCTCCCCAAAGCCTGTGTTCTTATCAGATCGATATATTAAATTCCTGAGATAATTTTTTGCAGGACCCAGAGGAAACTCTTTGGAGTAGGTAAAGCTATAGAAAATTTTGCCACTACTTGTATGCAATGCAAACGTGTCAGGACAGACTGTACATCCCCATGATGGTTCCTGAGATTCTGGAACTGAGGTTCAACTTGCCAGATGCTAGGAAAACTGCAGATCTATGATTTTACAGTCATGTATAGAGCTAAATACAAGCATGATTATGCTAATTTTTTAAGACACCTTTGTTCACAGTTTATAAAACCACTGTGACCATTCCCAACCTTTTAGATTCAAGGCATCCCTCAGAAAATGCCAGTTCTTAGCTTTCACTTGTTTTTTGACTATGGAAAAAATATAAAACAATTCTCCTGTTGCAAAGAACTCAGAAAGACCACAACAGGACAGAACATTTTTGACACTATGAATTCCTATTTGAAATCTCTGGGTTTATCTTGTGAATCATGTATGTTTGCCAAACTAACAGTACTAATACTGTGTTGCACCCCATGGCACCCTTAAAAGGATTTCCTGGCACCCTGGTTGAACATCACTGATCTACTCTGAGCTTTGGCATAACACAGGCCAAAGGGCTTCTAGGAATTAATTCCTTTGAGCCAAAGTATGTATTCGGAAAAAAAAATCCTGTCTTGATTTAAAAATTACCAGAAATGGAGGAATGTAAATACACAAAATGCTGGAGGGAATATCACAGCAACGGGAACCATTCCTGGTGCAGGTGTTATTTCAGGAATACACACCCACATTCTTATTACAGGGTTAGTAAACTCCCAAATTACCAATACTGGAGAGACAGACAACACCTATTTGGAAACATCCCTGCAGGGGCAGCCAGCAAACAACAGGAGAGATCATTCATCACCAAATGCATGCAGCTCTCCCACCCATGACCACTGATTTCCCATGCAGAAGGCTTCTTGCAGCAATGGGTGTGTGCTGGGGGTAGGGGGAGGAAGGAAACAAGACTGTGTTTCTTCTCAACCTTCCTTTTCCCCTACCCCAAGGGAGCTATGGAAAAACGCAACCTGGTTGTGTCATCACTTTGCCCCACCACGCACAGATTTGGGGGATAGAGGCGACACTTAAGACCATCTATGGCCCATAACTTGAAGCTGAGCTACAGTGTGCTTTTTAGACAGGTGTCCTGGTCTTAATTTCAAGACTGCCAGTGGTGGAGAAGCACCATACACCTAGACCAGTTACCAGCATGCCAAAAATGTGCACCTTATTTTTAATCTGGATCTGTCCGGCTTCACCCTTTGTCTGTTAGTTTGGAGATGCCTGATTGTCTAAGATAGTCTCCCCATGCAGAAAGTTGCTGCATTTCAACTGGTCTCCTTGTGTGTGTGTAGTAATTTGACTGGCAAAAAAGGGGAATCCAGAGGAAAGCAGCAATATAATGGTAGCACTGCAGTAACAACTGAACTCTTGGAGGAAAGGCAAGTTTGTTAGAAACAAACCCTGCATGCAAGGTTGCATGGTATCCTATATCCCGAGTCAACTGGGTAGGCTTTCCTTACTCAGAGTTCTGGGGCTACACAAAGATTTCTTCTCTCAAATATTTTGGGAGTTGTTTTCAAATCTAACTGTACTTCAGATGATCAGTCTAGGGGCTTGAGCATTAGTGAAAAACAGTAACATCCTGTTAGATGTGGACAGCTCAACCAAAGCAGCCCCCATGCCATCTTAGGGCTGTCATCAAATTATGAAACCTATTTTGGTAAAATACATTTTTTCACCTTTGCTACTGAACCCACTTTAGATCTGCTTGACAAAATTCTACTAGCCACCAGTTTCAGGTGAGCAACTATAATTAGCTGCCTCTTTGCCAGACCTATAAGGGCATGTGCAGGGGTAGCAGTGTGGGCCCACTTTGTCCCAGGGCTGGTAAAATTTCTTCCAGCTGTCATGTAAGATGGCTATAAAAGCGATTTGTTCCAGGGATACTTTCTCCTACTCTTATGGTAGGAACATTACACCCTCTCAGACAGTAACAGCTGCAAAGGAAGGGTTACATAGTCAAACCACAACATGTCTTCAAATCAATTAAAATATAAAGAGTTCTCTTAAACCTGAGAATGACACCTTCTCTTTCCATGCCACTTCCCAGACCTAGCCTACACGGACATGGGGTGAATGAAAGTTGGTCACACGACTACCATGTGAAGAGGCTAATTTTTGACACATGCACCTCTGCCACTTATGACAGCAGGTAGAATACAAAGCCCCGGACACTAAATAGACCACACAAAACTTCTTCCCTGCAAGAACCACTCTGTTCTGTACTTGTTCAGCTAACACCTCATAATCTGTTCCGGATGACAAGAATTTTGGGGCCATTGATCTATTGGGTTCACACCCAAGTGAAATGTTTGGTTCATACCATTTCCCTACCGTTTTCACTGTCCTATGTTAGCTGTGTTCACAGTGGGTCAACCCCTGCATCTCATCCTGAGAAAACCAGTCTTCACTCTCACTGTTCACAAGCTGGGGGCTCCGAAGTGTCAGCTGACCCAAAGGAACCACTTCCTTGAAGTGTAAGAAACTTACTTGCAGTCTACCAAATGCACCTTGGCTTGCTCTGTGGCTATATTAATTCTGATCATCTCCTAAAGAGAAGATGATAATCATGCCAAATGAAAGAGAAGTTTTACAATGAGTCATCTCAGTTCACTGCAATCTGGGCTGATTTTAAAATAAATGAATGCAGAATCTTTAGGGAGATGACAAAGGGGAAAAGGCTATTATTTCCATGTAACAAGCTGTTTTTATAAGATGGGTCTAAACACCGGATCTTAAGAATATCATTGGTTTTCCAACCAAAATTTTAAAAGACTCCTTGAAGTAATTCTCTCTCTCAAAAAAAAAAAAAAATTCCCAGCATCATGCCTTGCCAGTGACTCATCTGTTTCACACAATATCAAAAAGCAGTAACAACAAAATCCATTGCAGATTCAATCCTGACCATAACAAACCTATATCGAATTACTTCCCTTGCAAAAAAGTTGCCTTCTTATCAACATTCAGTCACATAAAGAAATGTATGTTGGATTACATGTTCTTCTTGAGCAACGGCTGAGATTTTAGAAATGCCCACCAAATGATCCCAAAAAAGGGAAGTCAAGAAAGGGGAAAGGCACAGCAAGATAAAACTGAATTAGTTAGCCATTAAGGGAGCTTGTACATGTGGCAGTTGTCATGATGTACACATGACAAAAATGTCATTTGTGGGACTTAATGGCATCACACCTGCACCAGTTTTGGGGGTTTTAGATGAGTTTGCATCATTGCAAATTGCAATGATGCAACTCATCCCCTGGCCAAGGGGAACGTGGGCAGGTTCAGCAGGGGAAAAAAAGAAAAAAGATCAGGCTCCTTCAGCGGGCACAAGTGGTGAGGGGGACAATCCCCCTTCCCCCCCCATAGAGCCTGCCTACCTCTCTTGTGGCTGAGGGGCAAGTGGCACCTGAGCTGCAGGGGGTCCCAGTCTCTCTCTCCATGGTGGTGGTGCCCCCTGGGCAGGCTGCTAGCAGGATGGGTGCTGCCCCATCTTGGAAGCAGCACTCAGCCTGATCCAACTGTTTGCCAAGCATGTCTGCTGGGCACTGCTCCCCAGGTGGGCTTGGGGGCCAGGTACTGCCCTGGGGGCACCACCACTGTGGAGAAAAGGACTGGGGGCCCCCAGCAGCTCAGGGGCTGCTCAGCCCACTGGCAGCTAGCCCCCAACAAAAAAAGATCAGGCCCACCACCACAACGTTATGGAAAAATTGAAATGGTGGGTTTCCTTTAAAACCCCATCATTTCAATCTAGGGGGCATAGAATAAAACCCTGAGGCCTAAGGCCGGTCACATGTCCAAGCTCCCTAAAGGATGGGAGGGGTTCCAGCTTTTAGCCGGCTAGCCCTTAAATCAGTCCGGAAGCGCAGTGCAAACACGGCTGGCCTTGCCTTCTCTTGCATGGTGCACTGGACCTGACTCTGTAACTACGGCAATAGTTCAATATCCACCCCCTGACAAAAAGCCCAAACACGCCTGTCCCTCCCGCCGAAAAATCCCCGCTCAAGCCCGCGGCTCAGGCCAGCCGCAGCCGCAGCCGCGCGGCGCAAGGCTCTCAAGTCCTTTGTTCGGGCCCGCCCGGCTGCGAGGCGGCGGCGGCGGCTGCCGGGCCAAGGCCCCTTGAGGACTGACGCGAGAGGAGCAGCGGCTCCCAAACGTGCTCCCCGCAGGCGCCGCATCCCACCGCGCATCCTTCCGCGGCGCCGCCTCCTGGGGCCCCGCTCATCCCCCAGAAGGTCCCGTCCCGCCCCGCCCCGCCCCGCCCCGCCGGGCCCGCGCTCACCCAGGCGGCCGAAGGGCAGGCGGTTGCGCTCGCCCAGCATGAGGTTGAAGCGGGGGTTGTCCTTGCGCAGCCGCCTCCACTGCCCGCTGGCCAGCAGCAGCCGGGACACCTCGGCGTACACGCTGCTGTTCTCGTCCCGCACCACGAACGTGTACATGGCGCCCGCCAGCCCCGCGCTAGTCCGGCCCAGCCACGCCCGCTCTCGCAGCCGGCAGCGGCAGCAGCTGCATGTCCCCGGGCAGCGGCGGGGCCCGAGCCCTCCGCAGGCCCATAGGGCAGCGGCCGCGCCCC